TGGCTGACAAGGCGAGCGAATAGCTTGCACCCATCGCCAAGGGAAGCGCAGCGAGTACAACATCCCCAAGACGCCGTCACTGCCCCCAGAGGCGCCCCTCTCACCACCACCGTTGTGCCACCCGCCTGCACACCCCTGCCCCAGGCCAACGGACCCGACGGCCTATCTGACGCCGTCGCAATCCTTCCTGACTGCCTTCTCCCGCTTTTGCCGGCCTCGCACTTCGCTCCTCTGCAATCATGCCTCGCCTCCGCGCGCGCGCACCTCCAGCTCCTCTAACAGCCTCCAGTGCCCCGACCGCTTCCTCGACCCGCCCTCGCCGCGGCACTGCCAACCAGTCGCCCGCTGCGGCCGTCATACAGCGCTCCTCGCCCGAAGAGACGCGCCAGTCGATCCACCTCACCGTCAAGTCATCGCCCAATAAGCTCAGACAGGCCACTGGCGGAGTCGTACCAAAGGCAGGCGTCAGCAGGCAGAATATAGTCGCGGGCAAACGCGCATCGAGGAGTAGTCGCGTAGTGCGGGAGATCGACAGTGAGGACGACGAAGACGAAGATGACGACGACGCCGAGGAGGTTGATGCCATGGACGTGGACGACGACTCCGACGAGCCAGACGCTGAAGGAGACGAGGATGAGGACATGGACGCCGAGGGAGATGAAGACGACGACATGGAGGACACGCCAGCACCACGCATCACCGTAAATGCGAGCAGAGGGATCCCCGTCCAGCCAGCGCCAGCCATAAAGCTCACAAAGGCCCAAGACAAAGTCGAGGCCAAGGAAATGGCCATGGACGACGACGATGACGACGACCTCAGCGACCCTGACTCTGACCTTGAGGAGGAAGACGCAGAGGGCGAAGACGAGGATGCTGAGGGCGAGGAAGACGACGACATGGGCGTCACACCAGGTGGAGACATGGACGAGATGGACAGCGACGAGGACCTCAGCCGCGACCAGACCCCCGATGTCAGCAAGATGACGAAGCGTCAACGCGCCCTGATCAACGAAGAGGAAGACGGCGCACTCCTCGCCCTCTCAAACGAGGCGCAGAAGAAGAAACACCTCACAGCCGAAGAGCACGCTATGCGAAGGGCAGAAATGGCAAGGCGGAGGAAGAACCTCAGCGAGAAGAGGAACGAAGAGGAAAAGGTTTGTTCAACCCTAGCATCTGTCAATATGTACACTACTGACCTTCCACCCTAGCTCGACACCATCAACCGCCTTCTCAAGAAACAACCCCCGAAACGCGGCCGTAAATCCATGATCGAGCTCAACGAAGATGGCGAGGAGATCGAACAGGAGCCTGAGCGAGCGAACCCACTCTACGTACGATACATCCAGAACGCCAAGGGGACACAACTTGCTGTGCCAGATGAGTGGCTCCAAGCCCCTGTCGGCAGAGTATTCTCTGGGGAGACACAGAAAGCGACCCAGAAGCCTTTCAGTGGACGCATGGTAGAAGAAGTTGCTTAGCCTTATCATTGGATACATTCATCGATGTCAAGGGGAAGAGTAGATGTACATTTAGCGGTGCATAATCACGGCGTTGATTGTCTTCTCTTATATATCGAGCTTCGATAGACCAAATATCCTATTTCTTGTTTCCATCTACTTCACCTCCAATCTCATCGCGTCGTACTGAACATACACTGCTTCAGGCAACAAAGCACTCTCATAGTTGGTTCCGTTGTACGGTAGGCTAAGTATCAGGCCGTTCTCCCCTTCCTTCAGCATGGACGAAGGGAAAAGGAACTTGTGCGCGAGGTTGTAGCATATGACTGCTGAGCGGACGGCGCAGGATGAGGATTGGTTGTACCTGGTATGATTGTTAGTACACTTTGATGATCAAAGACGGAGAAAGAATGAGAAACTCACGGGATAATCCAAGGCTCAAGATCCACCCCATTCACATTAACCGTATACGGCAGATTCGAATACGGCTCACTCGCATTGAAAACATCTGTATTCCCCGCCGCCGTCTTCGCACCCGCAAGCTGCACCGTAAACGTCGCTGTAGTCCTGTTCTTGAGTTCATTCGCCTTGGCATCAAACAGGATAGTCCAGTTATACGGATGATCAGGTACAGGTTCGGGACGCTCGTAGTTCGCCTTCCCGCCGTAGACAGCCCAGTGCACGTAGTTGAGTGCTTGAGACGCGTCATCTGTACTGACTTTGTATGTCACGCCTTCGGGGAACTCGTCGATGAAATCGTAAGCACCCCAGTAGAGGCGATATTCTTCTGTGAGGAGGGGATGTGTGGGGGACTGGGCGTAGCCGTGGCGGTACTCGCCTGAGGATTTGTCGGGGGTGCCGATGCGGAAGAGTTCTTTGCCAGCGGATTCGGGGGTCCATGTCGCTGTTATGGAAGTAGCTTCTCCTGCTGAGACGAGAACGTCGTCTTGGATGTAGTCGCCAAAGATGCCGTCGGCGTAGACTGTGAGACGGTAGTTTCCGGCTTTCACACGCGGGATGGTGACTTCGCCGGTGGGGGAGATATCTTCCCAGTATTGGTATGCTTTCGTGTCAAAGACGTTGTCTTGGAAGTCGCGACCGCTCTCTGTGAGGATGGCGATGGGGCTCTTGGCTCCGGTGGGCAGACTGATCTTTGCATTCAAGGTACCACGACCGGAGGTGGGGACGAGGTTCGGCACATGTTTTGCAATGGAATCGTAGAAACCGGCGTTCCATTCTGGACGGAGACCATACTGTTCGGCGTCTTCTCGGAGTTCTTCGAGCGAGCCGCCTGAGTTGAAGTGGAAGTATTGCGGTCCAAAGGTACGGTCGAAGCCATCGGTGATGTTGGGCGTTTGATCACCGTGGTGGTTGGAGACCATGTAGTTGTACACGATACCGTCAACGACAAGATCGGAATGAACAGGGCCGTTGAAGTAAGTCTCGACTGTGTTGTGTACAAGCCACGCGCCGTAAGTTGAGCCGTTGGCGCTACCGGTACCGTCGGCGTACATGCCATGGGCCTTGTGATCGCGCCATGTGTCTTGGAAGGTGTACTTGGTGAAGTAGTCTCCTACGCCTGTAACGTATGGATCTTCTTTATTGGCCAGCCACCATGTAGCATCTTGAACAGTGACTTGTCCTTCGGTATCCGGGCGGGGTGCAGCAAACTTCTCGTTGGTAACGAAGTGCGTGAAGAGCGCGGGTTCATGGTTTGGCCTGAACAGTGTGCGGAACTCTTGCAGGTTGCGCAAGAATGGAGTGGTCTTGTTGTTGTACACCACACGGCTGAAGGTATGCAGTCCTGTTTCCCCTTCTCTTAGAAACCAGTACTGCTCTAGCCTCTGACCGGTCGGAGTGTAGGTCTCGCCCATGCTGATACCCCCATACGAAGTATTAGTAGAATCTTTGCCGTTGAACAGCTGGTACTGAACATTGCTTCCCCGGCCTGGTGTCCAGAAGCCAGATGGAGTGCAGTAACAGTCGAGATAGGGACCGACTCCAGTGTTGCCATCTTCCGTCCCAAGGAGGTTCTGCCCGTCAAGAGTAAGGACATTGATATATCCTCTTGTCTTGCTCACCGACGCAACAAGACGATCGTTGGCAATGGTTAGACTTTGGTTGTTCTGACTCGCGTTCAGAAAAGCCCATGCTTTCGAAGTCAACAAGAGCGCTGCCGCGGTCGCTGTGGTGGAGCGCATGTTGTGAACGGAAGGCGCCAACGAGCACTACATGCCCTCAGAGGTACTTCGCTCCCCATTCTTATACAAGCCGTATCCAGGTACACGGGAAAATTAATTGAAGCTAAGCTCGATGATCCTGGCCGTAATCCGGGGTAAAGGAGGAGAGACTGCTATGGGGAAGACGCGCTACTCGGCCCTTCGGCGTGAAAACGACCGAGGACAAGGTCTGTTGGACAACTGAGTGGCCCACATGCTCCTTCCGGAAGATATTTGCTCGAGCAGAGCATGTTCCGTGTCTCGTTACTTGTGATGATGACTTCATGTTAGATATAGAGAGTTGGTCATGTCGTTGTTAGGCGGTGTCCGCGCTCTAATGTTTCTAATATTTTAACATAATTTTATTACTAAGACGCTAGTCTCTAAGTAAGTTTTCTCTTATAATTTTACTTTAGTATTTTATTATTTTTACTAACTTATATTTATTTACTTTAGCTTAAAGTGCTTTTTATAACTAGCTATAATTATAGTACTAATTCTACTTTTTTTTTTTTATATACGCATAAGCTACGCTTTCTTAGTATTACTAAAAGTACTAGTAATATACTTTATAAGTAGCTTATTTAAAGTATTAATTTTTAGCTAAATAAAGTTAATATTATTATAATTTTTATTTATATACTATTAGTAAGCTTACTTTATTATTACTTTATTTACTTTATATAAACTAATTTTTTTAAATATTATAATAGCTAGCTTAATAGCTTTACTTTTTTTTAAGTTTTTAATAAGTTTTTTAACTTTTTAAATTATTTTTTATACTTTTAGTAATTAGAAGTTTAGTAAATATTTTACTACTAGTAACTTAAATAGTTACTTATAGCTAAAAACTAAGCTATTATAGTATTTTATTACTATATTATTAAAAAGAATTTAAATAAAGTTAGTATAATATAATTTAAAATAAGTAGTAATAGTACTTTATATACTTAAACTTTAACTATAGTTTTACTATTTTATTATAAAGTTATTTTAAAAACTTATTACTATACTATAAATATATATAAAGATATACTAGCTTAAAATTAGTTATTAGTAAATTATAGTTATTATATACTTAACTACTTAAAGTACTATTAAAGTTATTATAATTAAATTATTATAAGACAAGCGCGTAAACAAGAAGATGCAGTGTCCGCGACTCGCTTCGCGACGTCCTCAAGGTTACTATAATCCGGCGAGTCATGACGTTTCGTGCTTTTTACCGTAACCGCCCGATCATCTGCATCATGTTTACCATTTCGTACCCGCCTACATTTTCAGCTTTGCGTACGCTGGCTCATATTACTGGATGCTCTGAACATCAACGGACTATTTCATAGCTAATCTGACCTCTAGTTTCCTCGAGGTTCTCTACGCGTTGAAACCTCTGTCGACTGTGTAACCAGCTTTCTTTTAAGCCCGTAACGAGATTGACATTGCCTTTCCAATAGTATTCCTTTGGTCCATGCCCTTTCGTCCTCAGTAACCAGACTACCCTGCGTCTACCTAACCGTCGCAACAGCACTCCATGAGTCCAGGCTTTGAAGCGAGTGAAGGATGACACCAGACCTTGTCGTTCTTTCGTTGGTGCTCGCTCCTGCAACTTCGTGACCATCATTTGGACGCAATCTTCGATGACAAGGAGGCCGGGCGATACGCGGTAGATGCGCCAACCACGGTCTTCAGCCTCATCGATGAAGAACCCCTCCTTATTTGGGACTGCGATAGTGACAGGACCAGAAGTGCCACAAAGTGAACCATCGGCGTGACCGACAGAGGTCTTATAGAGCATTACCGAGAGTCGTTGGGAGCTGGAGAAGGAGACGATGCGGTTGCGGTCGAGCAGCGGTAGTGCCGGTAACGGAGCCGGGGAGGCTTTCTATTGAAATGAGAACTTATCCTCATCGTTGAAGCAGGCGTTACGATAGGTACTTACATTCCTAGTCATGACGTACTCGCTATTGAGAAGTCGAACGAACATTGTCTGCTGCATATCCACAGAGGCCGCCGCTATCTTCGCCTTCATGAACACCAACTCAAGTATGGCTATAGATCGGAAGATCACGTAGTCCCTGAGAGTGATCTTTGACGACGAACCCTTCAAGTATACTGCGACATAGATCAACGTGAAGAAATTCACAAGCGGCGTATCGGACCAGATGAAACGTCCGGTTCTTCTTAAAGCCATAATTGGCATCACAAGGCTCCTCTCCCGGCAAGCCACTAGTGCCGATGCAATGAATGTCAAGCCGAAGGTTGTCGCGATGAGGATGTTAAGCGCGGTGGCTGGAAGAAGTAGGTTCATTGCGATGGCACAGGCGAGCGAAACGGTCAAGAGAATGAACCCAGTGTTGGTGAAGTATAGCTCTGCAAGCTCACCATCGTGATCTCGCGAGAAGACGGAAGTGTAACCGTCAAGCACAAGAGCTTTCTTGATCCCAGCCGTGTCCTTCTGACGTACTGCGAGATGGTAAATTATAGCAAGGCCGTTGCTGATCTCTTTCAGGAAGACCGTAATGCAAGAATGTAGCAGCAATGCGCTGCCGAAGTTGATCTCCTTGGTCCACGGGACGGGCGACATGATGAAATAGGGCTTTCGAACAAGGCTGTGGTGTGGTGTTGTGGAGAAGAAAGGTACTACTCACAAGGCTGAGCACTTGAGAAGTAGCTGATCAATAGACTGCATTAGCAATAGCAGGAAGTAAGCTGCGAGTGTACCATGCACTCCTCAACCCAGCCTACCCACATGCTGCCCGCAGCAGAGAAGCAAACACATGCACCTTCAGGCGCACGTATTGGGGGCGGAAACGCTGTCCCACCCATGCCCAGGCGAGGCAACCTTGGAACTACCGCGGCATCGAGTTTGAAGCCATGCACCGAGGTTGTCCAATAACTTCTGTGTATCTCTAACCCCATGCCATTTGACATGCATAAATGATGCCATAGAGGAATGTCAGCTCGTTCGCGATCGATGGTGGCTGCGTTCGCGGCTTAATCTTTCCCGCAGAAAGGAAGCGAGACGTCACGCTAACTGACCCGGCTTGAGGATGCAGCTGTGTCAACGTGAATGCTATGCTACGGGACACAAGAGATCTACAGTAGTGACCTGTTAAGCAATGTGCGTAAAGAGGAGAGTTACTTACGTGCAAATCCACAAGGCGTTTTCTGACCGACATCCGGGTATAGTGCAACGCGTGGGCGGGCAACTTCAAGCCTTCCAAGGTTGGAATGTGCTCAGATGTTCACCTCGGCAGGATCGTGCACGAGCATGTGCACGGGCACTCGTGTGCGTCTCGCCATTTCCTAGACATCTCGTGCCTGTCTAGGTACCCAAGTTACCACGTTGTCGGACTATTCCAGGGCTTTTTGGTTTTACCAATCATTACCTTATATTTCGCGTTTGCATAAAGAAGAGCAAGCGTGGTTAGCTCTCGGACTTCCGCTTAGCTTCCTTTCGGGTTTGCCCTTATCGCGCCACAGGCCGTGCCACATCGAGCGCCGGCATGCCGGCAGCTCGCCCTTGCTGGGGGTCCGACAGATTGTTACGAACCTTGACGCCCAACTCATTGCATTAGAAAGGGTCACATCCCTAGATAGTATCATACTCGAGAGACTGATGACCGTCACGCACAACTGGAAACCTCATTACGCGTTCTTTCGAAAAAACACTTCGAGAGGCATCGATCCAATATGCGCTCCTCTTCAACGCTGCTGCGCTCACTCAAAGAGAAACTTATCGAAACGTTAATTGTCGCGCCTTACGACCGCGGACTAAAGAGAAGCGCACGTAAGCGGAAGGAGTACCGCGATCGATTGCGAGCCGAAGCTTGTGCTGCTTGGAACGCCAGACTTCCTAGAGTAAGGCAGAAATCTGCGGACGCCTTTGACTGTTGTTCAGCCGCCGACGTATGCACCCAACAACAGTCGCCGTTCTTCGCGAAGCTGCCTCTCGAGCTACGGAGGCTTATTTATGCATACGCCATGGGCGGCCAAGTCCTCCGGCTTGAGCTCCATGGCCAGGACGATAAACAGCTTCAGCGTCAGATGTGTGAGGAGAACGACGACGAGATTCCATTCACGCTGAGTTGCGTACAAGCAAGGAAGCTGCTCGGGTTCCCAGCGTCGTGCAAAACTGCGTGAGTAAAGTAAATTTCTCACATAAATAACGTTACTGCTCCATGATACAGTATCTAACTGAATGTGCTAAAGCTACGTCGAAGCCGCACAATACGTCTATAGCGAAAACACCTTTCGAATTCCCAGCCTTACCGCCTTCTTCGCTCTTCACCGTATTCTTCCTCCGCGTTGGTTCCAAAGCATTCGTTGCATGATTTTGAGATGGGCGTATCTTTCGACACACGAGATGCACAAATTTCTTGAAGGCGATCCACCGTATAATGCTTCATGTTGGTCTTCAATGTGGTTGGAAATATCAAAAATGAGAGCACTAGAGCATATGGAGGTCGACATGGTGATCTGGGCGCCATATGTCCGTGCTGCATATGAACATGTCCTCTTTACTCCGCTGGAAACTCTGAGGGGTTTGAAAAGATTTGCGGTATACACTAGTTGGAGCGAAGATGGAAACTTTCGACGTGAGAGTGGAGGAAAGACATGGCCCTTCGAAATCACGCGAGGAATAGGCGTGAGTGACTGGTTGCCCATGCAATGATGTCTTTTCCATTAAACAAATTACACTATGAAGTCAAACTTCACTCGACCAAACAGAGCCTATCCAGCCATGAATTCTATTGGGTCCGCAAGGAGCTAGTTGTGTCACGGTCTCAGCCGAGGGGCACCTTGCATAAGCCACGCCCCGACTTTGATGATGCTGTGCCGCAATGGCTTTGCCACAGCAGGGTGACTAGGCACCAGTCTACCGTATCACTTATGGGCCACATTCGACTTCGGAGTGAACCTCTTTGTATTGATGATAAGTATCGAACAATCAGGACGTCGATTACATGGTATCGCTAATGCCCTTTTCTCCCTTGACCACATATTTCTCAACCCTCTGGCAATGGCCATGCGACCAATCAAAGACGCAGCCTGGTTTGTGCTCAACAAGTTTGTGCAAGCAGTGATCGAGCCTAGAATTCATAGGACCAGAGCCAAGAGATTTCAAGAGCGAAGACGAGTAAGCATGGAATGGCGGAACACGCGTCGGGCGAATTGGAACGCATCTTTACCACCTATCCGCTCTGACACGATGGAAGTCTCGGCATTGAGCGCAGCAACGGATGGATTCTCCAATCAGCCACAATGCTTATTTTTCACGAAGTTGCCTCCAGAGCTGCGAACGATGATCTATCCATACGCCCTCGGAAATGAAGAACTTGAAGTGGAGCTCATCCCCGAAGAGAAAGAGTTGTGGATATATCACGACCAGACGGTATCGTCCTTCGATTTGAAATGCGCGAAGTTTCAGCAGCTTATGGCCTTTCCCCGGTCGTGCAAGATCGCGTATGTCTCTTCCCCTACCTGAGGTCTCACTGGTGTACGAAATATGACTAACTTGTTTGCGCTAGGTATCTCGAATCAATACAATATCTCTATGGATTCAACACTTTCTATATCCCTACCAGCACAGCATTCTTCTGCCTCCATCGTCTTGTACCCACCCATCACTTTCAAGCAATTCAATCGCTACACCTGAAGTGGAGAAGTCATGACATAAGCATGCTATGGGAGATGGCGAAAGGTGTACCGCCTTACGATTTGTCATGCTGGACTCGTACCTGGAAGGAGGTATCAAAGATGGAGGCCCTAAGATACGTTAGGGTCGACCTGGTGACATGGAGAACGCGTCCTAAACCGTATCACATCTACGAGGACGCCTTGTTCACCCCGTTGAAGAAAATTAAAGGCTTGCAACAGTTTGATGTATTCGTCAGTTGGGAACTCGGCGAACAAGTAGAAGAAGGAAGGCAATGGCCTTTTACGATCAAAAGAACTATGGAACATATCCCATGAGCACACCCGGGCGGCGTGGAGCTTTGGATGGACACATCGAGCAGCTCCCCGGGTAGTTTACCTATGTCAGGTTATCGCGTTAAGCTCCCGTCAGTCGAAGTTGTAACAAAATCGCGCAAAAGTAATGCTAGAGACGCATAACCGCAAGAATTGAAAGTGTTGTACTTCTCCAAAATGTCATGTTCCGGCGTTTCGGTGCTAATCCGGGACGAATGACCGGTGACGTCATCATCTGGGGGAAACCGAACCCGCCTTGTGTACCTGCCTTCCGAAGCATCAACACCAAACATCGGAATCCCCGGGATCTTGTCAGCTTGCGCGGTCTTTTTACGCAGTGATGAGCTCTTCTCAACCAGAGAGTCAGCCTCTGCTGCATAGCTCTCCAACAAAAGTCATAGCTTTCGAACCCCACGATCCAGACGACCCCCGGAACTGGTCGAAAGCGCGCAAATGGCTAATGGTTGCCGCCATTGTCCCCATAGACCTCAGTGTCTCCTGGGGCGCGAGTGGCTTTAGTCCTGTCGCGAGCGACTTTGCGAAAGACATGGGCGTGTCGCCGAGCGTCGCTGTTCTGGGACTGAGCATGTATGTTCTTGGGTTGGCTTTTGGTCCTATGACTTTGGCTCCTCTTTCGGAATACTTTGGACGGAGACCTGTCTATATTGTGTCTTACGGTATCTTTCTCTTGCTACTTTTGGGGACGACATATGTAGAGAGCCTTGGGCCGTTCCTTGTCCTGCGTCTGTTCTCGGGTTATTTCTCATCCACGACCATCTCGAACTTTGGAGGCACCATCGCGGATCTTTTTCATCACCATGATACCGGGCCAGCGATGTCCTGGTTTCTCTGGGCAGCGACGGGTGGCAGTCCGACTGGATTTGTGCTCTTCTCGTTCATCGCGCATGGTCGATCGTGGCATACTGTGTTCCGCATCATGTTCTTCATCTGCTTGGCCTTCTGGGTGGTCATGGTCGTCGCGCTCTATAGCCTTGGAGAAACAAGACATAGTGTTATCCTCTTGCGGAGAGCACGGACCCTACGACAGCAAACAGGCGACGATGAGATTGAGGTGCCGGACGAAATGAAGCAACGAGGACCGAAGCAGCTGTTCACTACAGCACTCGCCCGCCCATTCAGATTCTTGGGCTCTGAAGCTATCGTGCAGTTTGGTGCACTCTACAACGGGTTTCTATACGGCTTGAGCTTCCTCTTTAACGGCGCCTTTCACATGATCTTTGGCCCGAACGGATACGGTTTTGATACTATCGGCGTCGGTATCTCATTCCTGGGAATTGTTGTTGGCATCACGCTTGGTCTAGCTACGAACGTCTTACAGGAGCGATACTACCAAAGGCGGGTTTCGCAGGCCGGCCATCGCGACGTGCCCGAGGCGCGAGTTCATCATGCGAAGCTGGCGGCTATTGTGCTACCAGTGTCTCTTCTGGCTTTCGCACTTACCGCAACGCCAAACATACACCCCTTCTTCGCAGTCCTCGCCAGCGCGTTCTGGGGATGGTCGTTCTACACTCTCAGTAAGTTACAGAGATGATCCACGTCAATCATGCTGCACTAACAATTCGATGTAGTTCTCATGACGCTCACGTACACCGAAGACGCCTACAAAACGTACTCAGCATCAGCTCTTGCCGGAATTGGACTCATTCGGAATCTCGCTGGTGCTGGATTCCCACTCGTCGGAAGACACCTGTTCTTGAACGTAGGCACCAGGAACGCGAGTCTGGTACTGATGGCGATCGCCATTTGCCTAGCGCCAATACCATTCGTGCTTGAGAGAAGAGGCGTATCATTGCGCAAAAGAAGCCCATGGGCGGCCGCGCATGAAGATGAGGACGAGAACAGCTGAGCCTAATGCCACCGGTGACAGCTGTCTCGCATGATAGGGCTCAGTCTGTCCTGTTTATGGGAAGGCATTGGTGGCGCGTCAGATACATGCTCCAAGTTCGAAGGATTTGGCTGCCATACGACTCGCCATGGACCGCCTGTACACGATCTCATACGTTAATGATGGCCGCAGTGTGCCCGGTCAAGCATAAATGTCTTCGCAACTCTATACCTGGGCAAGCACGTGGAATGGATTCCTGTATCCGACGAACTCCACATCATAATCGAATCAGAGAGCCCTGTCCTACTCGCGTTCAATCTGTCCATCAGCCACTGATATGCATTCTCCATTACTCAGCCCTTCGGCCGTCTAGGCAGCGGCAAGTTAGCGACCCAAATGGTTCGATTTCGCGCACGTGACATCCACTACACAGCAAACCCAACACACCCATTGGACAAAACAGAGCATGACGGCTACCCAAAACCAGCATAACAACGTTTCGAGCACAACAGAACGTGTTGTTTCGGATCTGCCCGTGGTTTTAGCGCGTAATCCCATTGAACGTTGCGGGCCAACCAACGCGTCGCGCAGCCGAGAGGGTCGGCGCGTAACGCTAGATCTCGCGCTGCCGACTACCCACCCGCGTATCCACCTGAGATATTCTTAGACCGTACGAAGTCTACATATGAGGCTCTGCTCTTGCGATGATAGTGCAGTATTCTCCAACTTCAACCATCTTTCTTTCCTTCAGTCGGTTTTCATTCGGTTCTTTCCTTTTGAGTCTGTTCTGTGAACAACTCTGTGTTTCATTCGCGACATAACTTGCTTGTTTCCTTCAGTCAAGTCTCAGCATAGCGACGGAGTTGTTCTCTTATCCATCGTTTTTCGTCGTTTCCCGGTTTCTTGTTGCGAGAGAAATATCGACCAGCGCGCAAGTCGTGTCTAGTACCTACAACGTCATCTCGAATTACGACTACACTGCGACTCAGCTACGAAATATTCGCAAGACCCCTCGACAGCCTCTCCAGGAATTCCGAACATCCACGTCAACACGACAAACTCTCGGTAAAAACACAAAAATGTCGTGCCAACCATTCACTTCGATCCCTCAACCACCCACCAACCTCCCGTCGTGCGCCGTACCTGTCGGTGGTTCGAACTCTTCAATACTAGATGCATGCTGCAACGGGCACATCAACGCGATCGCGACTTATTCCGCTCCCGACTCAACCACATCATCACCATCCGCGTCCTCAACTCCAGTCATCGTTAACTCAGAAGACAACGACGGCTGCTTCCAATACTGCATCACCGATTCACCAGACATCGTTCAGAGTTGCTTGGCACAGAAGATGGAACAATACGAGAAAGAAGGCGCAAGCGGCATGGGCATGTTCGGCTGCTTCAACACGGACAAGGCGGTCGGTGCGAGAAAGGTCGATGAGGAGCGAGGTTATGCTAGTGCGGGTGTGAGGATCAGTGGAGGCGCGAGTTGGGCGGTATCAATGCTGCTGGGTCTGAGTGTCATTGGTGCAGTTGTCAGAGGCATCTGAGCTTCATTGAAGAGATCTGGACATGGCATCACCATAGAAAGATGCAAAATGCTTGATTGAGTTGTATACCCAGGGGTTTTCTCTAGCATCTCCTAGCGCTGACGCTGGACGTAATGAATAATGACATTTTTCAATCCTCGATATAGTAGCGGTGTGGAACGACAACACTGATGAGATCTACGATACGATGATTTGAACGACTTGGTTGCGCATCCGAACCGCAGAGATATCCGTCCAGTCCCAAAAGTAAAAAGTAAAATTTCCCCAGCCTCAAATCGTCTTCGACACCTACAAAGGCGGTGAGTGAGCAAAGGAAGACATTCCCCACACTCACAAAGCGCCTCAACAACATTGTGTGCAAGGAACACGGGCGCAGATCCCATCATGCTTGCACTAAGTAGTGGTGTAGTGGCTGCGATAAAATATCAACAGCTCTGGTGTTTCTTCTTACAACTACCATCTGAGCCTGTCAACCGGAGACCATGTCAGCAATGCCGGAGCAACCACACATCGTCAAATACTGTGACCAAGAACTGATGCACCCACAACCTCGGCATCCGGTGCCTATTGTCGAAATAGAAAGAATAGCAGCCAACGCTGAGAAACAAGCTTCTCCAGACCTAGCCTTCGCATCGCAGCAACAACCACAGGCGCAACAACCACAGGCGCAGCAACAGCCACAACCACAGGCGAAACCAGATCATGTTCCCCAACGAAAGCGGAAAGACAGCGCAGCACCTTCATTATATTGCGGCTCCCCCGTCTCGGAACAATACGAGCAAGCTCCTGGAAAAGAGCTGCTTGCTGCCTCACACTCGCCTAAGCATGTGCCGGAGCATTTCTCCAACTCGGGCTTATTAGAAGCTGGGTTCAACCAGGAGACTTCTCGCAGGAATTCCAACTGGCGTCGCTTCTTTTGTAAGCCCCCAATCGTGAGAAGTTCTGATGAGAAGTATTGCTAAGTTTTCCTCCAGATGGTTCTTTAGAGTTCTTGATTCCTTTTGGAAGTGAATGGGATAGCCCGTGTTTAGCGTCCCGGAGGACTTCCGTTTGAATTGTGTCGAGAGCGCGTACGCTACTTATGAATGAACGAATTTTCTAAATATGAGATCTTTTCGCAGTTGACACTGCAAGCTTGATGTGTACCTGATGATGATGGGTCTGTGGCTGAGGGGCAGCCGATGTGGAGACGAGGGAAAGTTCCCCGCGACATTTTAGCGCTATCGCACCCCTGCCGCCGATGCGGAGCGTCATATCTTTTTCTCGAACGCGCAAACAGTCACAGCCCAATTCCACACGTTATCCTCTCATACATCTCAAGATGGCATCCGAAAAGAAAGTAGCAGAGAACATGCTCTGGGGAGGTCGTTTCACAGGTTTGTGCAGCCATTGGCCTGTTGAGTCCATCGACACTTGAGATGACTGGTGCTAAGACGCGTTGCAGAGGGCCTCGACCCAGTCATGGAGCAATACAATGCGTCCCTCCCCTATGACCGTCTCTTCTACGCTGAAGATATCGCGGGTTCCATCGCATTCGCCCGCGCAAACAAGAACAATGGCATCCTCACCGCCGACGAGTTCGCAGCCATCGAGAAAGGCATGGCACAGATCAAGGAGGAGTGGGCAACGAATTCCTTCGAGGTCAAGGCGAACGATGAAGACATTCACACCGCCAATGAGCGACGGCTAAGCGAGATTATCGGCAAGGACATCGGAGGCAAGCTGCACACAGGGCGAAGCAGGAACGAGCAAGTCGCGACCGACATGCGGTTATGGTTGAGGGAGCAGCTCAGGACGCTAGAGGGCTACCTGAAGCTCCTGATCAAGACATCGGTACAGCGAGCCGAGGCTGAGATCGACGTGCTTATGCCGGGCTACACACATCTCCAGAAGGCACAGCCCGTCCGGTGGTCGCACTGGATCCTATCGCATGCTACCGCTTTCGCATCCGAGCTCGAGCGCCTCCGCGAAGTCATCAAGCGTGTCAACCGTTCCCCACTCGGCTGCGGCGCGTTGGCAGGCAACCCCTTCAACATCGACCGCGACGCCATGGCCAAGGAGCTTGGTTTTGAGGGCCTACTCACAAACTCCCTCAATGCTGTCGGAGACCGTGACTTTGTCTTCGAGACACTACAATGGGGGTCGAGCTTCATGCTCAAGATGTCGCGCTGGGCGGAGGATCTGATTATATACTCGAGTCTGGAATTTGGTTTCGTGCGGTTGGCCGACGCCTACTCTACCGGAAGCTCCCTGATGCCCCAGAAGAAGAACGCAGACTCGCTGGAACTCATCCGAGGAAAGAGCGGTCGTGCGTTCGGGCACATGGCGGGCTTGTATGTCACCATCAAGGGTCTTCCTACGACCTACAACAAGGATTTGCAGGAGTCTGTTGAGCCTCTCATCGACCACATCAAGACGGTCAGCGACTCCATCCAGATCGCCACTGGTGTCTTGTCGACCCTGAAGATCAATGCCGACAAGATGCACGCTGCACTTGCCCCGGAAATGCTAGCCACAGAGTTCGCAGACTACCTTGTGCGAAAAGGCGTGCCTTTCCGCGAGGGTCACCACATCTCTGGTCGCGTAGTTGCCTTGGCAGAGGACCAGAACGTGCCCATGGATAAGCTGAGCTTGGAACAGCTAAAGGGTATTGACTCCAGGTTAGGCGACGACGTAGTTGAGTGCTTAGACTACGAGCGCGCGGTAGAGCTGAAAAACGCCACTGGTGGCACAAGCAAGAGCGCCGTCATGGAGCAGATCGACATCTTGAAGACGATTCTCTAGAGTAGAGGTTTGCCAAGCGACGCCTAAAACGGGTTTAGACAAAATTCACGGTGGTCACAGGTTATGAGAAATGAGAAATGATTCCTACACCACTTAGATGTCGAGTGGTGATGAAGGTTGTTGCATGCGTGCGCTGTTTGCATGTGCTTACCCCACTTCATCTAGCCAGCGGATCCGCGTTCACATCGCAAAGAGCCCTATGCTTTCGTAGATCTGGATTTACTGCAACTAACTCGCATCTCACTTCTACGACAATCATTAGGGTCGAACATCTGTCTAAATAAAGTTACCATGCAGCCAGATCCACCCAACACCGATGTCGTCGCCAACATAAACTACTTCCCTGCCACCGGCATCCCCATCACCAAATCAGAATGGAAAGTCAAATACCTCGACGACAAAGATGAATACACCCGTCCCATGCTCATCCGCGACGTACGAAAAGCGAATAAGACATTCGATCTAGACGTCAACGGCTTCACATTCGTCACACTCCCTCAGAAGCAGAGAGTAGACCGGCACAGCAGCGAAGAAGACGTAAAACAAGAATACTACCCCGAGTTGGAAGAAGTAGTCAAGAACCTGTAATAGCCCCACCAATATCCCCCATTTATGACCTCGTCCCGTCATAAGAAAGCAAAAAGATCTAACACCACCCCCAGAACCAACGCCTCAACCGTCCACATCTTCAACCACGTAATCCGCGCCCACACCTCCCCCTCCGCAAAGGGCATCCAAGACGCCCTCGGCCGATGGCAAGACATCCCCTCCGGCCACCCGCACGTCGACTACGCAGGCTCCGCGTCCGCCCTCAGCGGTACACTGACTGAACTCTCGTTGCCCGCTCACATCAACAGTCTCTTCACAACATCCACGCGCTACGCCTTCCTCAACTGCTGGCGGCCCCTCAAACGCGTGCGTCGGGACCCGCTGGCCGTGTGCGATGCGAGTACGGTGCCGGAGAGTGATTATCAGGTTAGGTTGAGGGAGTTTAGTCGCACGGGGAATAGGAGTGAGAATTATGTTATTAGTTGTGGGGCGTTGGAGAAAGAGGAGGATGAGGGGGTAGGGATGGAGATGGGGATGGAGGAAGGGATGGGCAAAGGGCATGAGTGGTGGTATATGAGTGGGATGCAGCCGTGGGAGATGGTGGTGTTCAAGGGGTTGGATTCGAAGAGGGAGGAGAGGGGGTGGAGGTGTCCGCATACGGCGTTTAGGGTTGAGGGGAGTGAGGGGGAGGAGGCGAGGGAGAGTATTGAGGCGAGGGTTGTGGCGTTTTGGGAGTAAGATGGGGATGGGGTAGTGGTTATGTCATCTTCGAGGCTTTCTCTTCGAGATCTTTTCTGTGAATTCGTTTCGCAACGAGCTATCTACGTTACTTGCTCTATTTTCCGGACTAGGTTTTGCTATCGGTATGCCGCGCATCGTGTTCCTTCTCTCATCGCTTTCCCTGAAATGCCTCCGATAGGTAGATGTGCCTCGACGACGAAACGGATCACTAATAGTTGGTCCACAGTCCCGGCCGCGCCGGCCTTGATCGAAGTGAACCTAGGCGTATGCTGGAGGTAGACAGTGGCCTCGGGGGCCTCTCAGGCCGTTCGCGTATGCTGGGTAGATCGTGAAGAGAGCTTGGTCTGCGTAGGTGCTCGCTGTTCCGTCGCGGTACGTCAAGAAATCGGCTACTCGTCCTAGGTTCCGCCTGGTTGCTGTCTCTGAAATCCGACTGCCCACTCGCCATCGCAGCCTGCTGTTCATCGTGGAGGTATTTTGTAAAGACAAAATCTCTCCACTTGAGCTCTTTCTTCAAAGCGATAAACTTTGGCTCGGCATAGATCTCTCGGTAGATTTTGGCCATACCGTATTTGCAATGCTTGCGGTTGTAATCTTTGATTGCCTTGCCGAGCACTAGCCGAAGCGCTTCGCACGACCTTGTCCCAAGCTGTGCAACAACCATATCGTCAGAGACAAGTCGACGTGCGAGCAACTTCTGACTCTTATCCATACCCAATTTCCCCGGCAGGAGACCGCGACCCCGGGTCCAGAAGGACGGCTTAGTGTAGAGTAATGTCTTGTGATGGTTTCCACCTTCGCACCTGTGCAATCGGAAAGCGTACAGCTGCTCGAAGACGTAAGCGATGTCGACTCCAATAGTTCGTGCTGGTTCCATAATGTAGGTGCTGATAAACTCGCGGTCGCTATCCTTGAGCAGGCTCTGGGTATTGTCGACGACAGTCTCACATGCTTTGTGAATGACATCAGCGTATTCGAGAACTACGCGCGTTTGCTGAAAATTCAGAAGGCTGGTATTCCGCGCGGAGAGATTCGTGGTGGACAGTTTGGGCGAACATGCAGCAAGCGCATAATGGAGCTCGTGAAAGTCGACGTCGTAGCTGTATACCAGGATGTCGACGAGGAGGCGGACAAGAAGATCGACTGCGGCAGGCTTATCTTGAGGAAGTTCCAAGTTTGTATCGTGGCCTAAGATTTGCTCTGGCGCGAAGGGATAGGACTCCAGGGGGTGGTGAGAGGTTTCGATCGAATTACGTGGTGTGATGGGAGGGCGATGGCTTGTGCTGTATGTTCGTTTTGGTTGCCCTGCGCTCAGGTTGCCTACACCCTCCTGAGACAGTTCCGGCATTGCGAAGCCCCGTGACGAAACGAAAGCTGTTGAGGATAGCAAGAAAGACGACGCTGATACCGAGTGCGGTTGTTCGCAGGTTTGACAAAGAGGAATGGAGAAAGGTAAATCACAATCACGAGGGTGCCGCTGAGACCCTTTTGGACTTCCTTACATCGACCAACGTAACCATCGTCAAGTTGTGACCTGTAGGGGTCCAAAGCGGAGTCGTTGGTCGTCTGACTGGCCATCCACAGCGATGTATTGCGCGACTCCTGGCATCTCAGCGGATGATTTGTTGAGAAAGTCTGAATCACATATTCAGGGTCGATGATGATGGTACTATTCAGCTTGCTTCAACCGTAAGTGTCATCACAGTAGACCGATGCGACGACTGTCCCTATCAAAGCATCGATTAGTAGAGAAGGCTGGAGTCTTCATGTGATTAGCTCGAAGACACGAGCGGCGTAAGTCGGCTTCATCGCGAGATATTGCATCGCCTTGAGAGAGGAATTGCTGAAGCGTGATGTGCAAAGGCGTGGGATGGAGTTGGGCATGTGAAAGCAGAAGGCGAGGGGTGAATGCAGGGTGGCAGGGGTGTGCTGCATGACGCCACAGCCGAGGAGCCAAAATTACTCGGGCTGGCTTATCGATTAACAAAATTATCGCCGTCCCACTCTCCACCACCCACCAGACAGTTCAGCGCCGAGTTTCTGACACCGCATAGTCAAGGTGGCGTCGATTCCTTTCCGATTCAAATCAGGTGGCAGCGGCAACAATATGGCGCCCATGGCTGCGACAGCGCACCACCACCGGAGCACGACCAAGAAGGACAAGAAGGGCTTCAAGTCCCGCCATGCCACCAAAGGCGCGCTGAAGGAGCAGAGCAAGGGTCAGTCGCTCCTTCCCCGCCACCGCGTCCAACGCTGCTGACTGTTTCTTCTAGGCAAGGTCAACTCCCTCTCGTTCGAATTCGGCAGCCGCAAGACCCCCCACCAGCAAGTCATGAGCAAGTTCGACCGCCGCAACCGCGCCAAGCAGATGCGCATCAACAAGGACCACGAGCACGCAAAGTCGTCCAACGTATTCGCCGGCAAAGATGGTGCGCCGAGGATCACCGCCCTCGTCCCGCTATGTTCGGACGTCTCTACCGCCGAAGCTGTCCGCAGCCTGAACGCCAGCCTGGACATTGAAGAGGAGGTTCCCGAGGCAGGATGGACACGCACAAACGTCGACCGTTTCAAGCAAAAGGTGCAATATCTGATCGTAAAGAGAGATCTGCTGGCGGCTCTCGACGCCTGCCGCGTCGCCGATTTTGTCGTCTTCATTCTGTCGGCGCACGAAGAGGTCGACGCAGAGGGCGAGCTGATCATGAAGTCGGTCGAAAGCCAGGGTATCTCGAACACGTTCACCGTCGTGCAAGGATTGGACAAGGTCGAGCCCGCCAAAGCCAGGCCTTCAGTTGTTTCGTCGCTCAAGTCGTACATCACCCACTGGCTGCCCGCGACCGAGCGCGTCTACTCTCTCGACAACCGCCAAGAAGCCGCAAATCTCGTCCGATCGCTATGCACAACTACCACAAAGGGTGTCAGGTGGAGGGACCAGAGGAGCTACATGTTCATTGAGGATATCGCGTGGCCTGGAGGCAAGTCGGCCGTCAACGCGGACGGCACTGGCGATGTTGTCATAACCGGTGTTGTGCGCGGGCTTGGGTTGAAGGCCGACAGGCTGGTACAAGTGGGAGACTGGGGTGACTTCCAGGTCGACAAGATCGTAGCCGCTCCACTAGAATCGAGGAAGAAGCACAAAGAAGAAGAGATGGCTGTTGACACAGAAGGCGACGGCATCCTGGAGCGTCCCACAGAAGACCAGGACGACCTAGCAGATCTCGCACCAGAGGAAACAATCATGGACGACGTGACCAACTACGCCACATCTATTGCGCCCTCTGAGCGCAAGGGTGTCTTACTAGACGATCACCACTATTTCTCAGACGAGGAGGAAGAGGTCGCGCCCGCCAAAAAGAGGCGGTTACCAAAGGGCACAAGTGAATACCAGTCCGCATGGTATCTCGACGACATGTCTGACTCGGGCTCGGATCTGGAAGATTTCGACGACATGGAAGTTGACGAAGACGCCCAGAGCCAGCCTGCGCACCCTGCAGATGGTGTAGAGGGAATGGATGTCGATGGCAAAGCGATGACCGAGGGCGCTCCTTCAGAATACCCGCAATCGGAGATGTTCCTAGATCCATCACCAGAGGACGAGGCTGCACAGATCGAGGAGTACCGGAAGTCTAGGAAGACAGAAGAGGACGAAGATCTCGAGTTCCCTGACGAAATCGAACTACACCCCAATGTGAATGCGCGAGAGCGCCTTATTCGCTACCGAGGACTGAAGAGTCTGAGAAACAGCACATGGGAGACAGAAGAGGATCGCCCATACGAGCCAGAGGAGTGGCAGCGGCTGCTCGACATTTCCGACTACAAGCGCACAGCGACCAAGTTCATGCGCGAAGCCTGGGCTGGCGGTGTCAAGCCCGGAACTCGGGTCAGCGTTCACATTCGCGGTGTCCCGCTACAATTCCAGGAGACGCAGTCACGACCAATGGCCATGTTCTCACTCCTGAGACACGAGCACAAGCGCACAGCCGCCAACTACAGCATACTGCTCAGCTCTGAGCATGAGGGTCCGATCAAGTCGAAGACTAAGATGATCGTGCAGTGCGGACCAAGGAGGATAGTAATCAACCCTGTAAGTCACCTTAAGCCTCTATTCTATCCCTCAATACTAACAGCATCCAGCTCTTCTCCCACGCCGGCAACACACCGAACAATGTGCACAAGTTCTCTCGCTTCCTTCACCCCGGCCAATCGGCCATTGCATCTTTCATCGGACCTCTAACCTGGGGCAACGTCCCACTCCTCTACTTCACTCGCACAACCCCCTCTCCCGACCATCCCTCCTCCCTTCGACTAATCGCGACCGGAACATCGCTCCCACCCTCCACCAACCGCATCATCGCGAAGCGCATCATCCTAACAGGCCACCCCTACAAGATCAACAAGCGCGTCGTCACAGTCCGCTACATGTTCTTCAACGACGGCGACGTCAAGTGGTTCAAGAGCTTACCGCTGTGGACGAAGCGCGGAAGGAGCGGTTTCATCAAGGAGAGTTTGGGTACGCACGGATACTTCAAGGCTACTTTCGATGGCAAGATCAGTCCCATGGATGCTGTTGCTGTTAGTTTGTACAAGAGGGTTTACCCAAGGGGCGCGAGAGCGTGGAGGGGTGAGCTGGAGCAGGCAGCTGAGATGGAACAAGCTGCTTAGAGGGTTACGACGCGTCAATGACTTTTATGATATCATGGGGTTTTAGATAGGCTAAAATGGGTATGGAGTTTGTTGTTCGTCTTCTACGAATTCAGTCCCTCAGTCAACTATGTGTGAAGCAGAGCCGTGAAGTAAACGCCGTGAAATGCTGATAAAGAAGCGTACTTTTCACCGCCAACGCCAACATGAAGTCTGAGACAGCATGAAGCCAATTCTTCCCAGACTCACTTCCTCGCAAACCTCTCAAGCGCCGGTCCATAATCCTTCTTCAACCTCTCCTTCCTCTCAATCTGCCTCTTCTGCATATTCTTCAACGCCTCCCTCGCGCGCTCCTTCTC